GTTGTTAATTAATATAAAATTGAGAACTGTCAGTGGCTGATGAAACAAGAAAAAAAATGTATTACCTGAGTAATTCGATCGGCATTAATTTGCTCCACCGTAGGTGCGGGATTATTAGATTTTACCGCGGGATTTTCCATAATTATTTAATTAAAAAAATACAAAAACACAGAGCTAACCTACAAATTCATACCCCGACGTTTACATTCGTTTCCTCTTCGAAAACCCGTATAAGCCCAGACCCAACTATAAAAACGGCAGTTCACTTCCCCTCGACAACAATTCCACCCTCAAAACAATTTCACTCCGATTATTTCTTTAAAAAATATATATAAACAACCGACAAACAAGAGGTTAACACTCGCCACTGGCATTTGTTGAATCACCGGCTTGCGATTTCAAAGAATTCCGAAGGCTTTCCAAATTAGTACCCATAACCCCCAGGAGTGGTCATCGGCTCCAAAACTCGTCCAAATAAATTGAACAAAAATCACAAAGCCCCTAAAACCCGCAAACTCGTAAGTAACAACAATCTACAACAATTTGATCAAATGAACGTCAAGAACTGTGAAAAAATCATGGAAATCCCCACTTCAATTATAGGGATTATCACAATAATTACCCGATATCTCAATAATTTAAAACCCATTCAACCCCCAAAAATGCATTAATCCCCCTATCCCAGACGGTAAAAAATGAGTGAATGGCCTGTGAAGAGGGCCAGAGTAGATGTTAAAGAGGATTTACCTCTGGACCTCAGCATGAGATCAATTTCCACAGGAACAGAGTCGGAAAAATCCCAAGAAAGTCCTTCAAATTGTCCCAGTACTCTCCCAAATCACAGTGAAATCACCCAGAATTTCCCGCCAGACGTCCCTCTGCGTCTCCTCTCGCTGGAGTTCTCCCTGACAAAAACCCTCCAAAAAATTTTATTCCCAGCTCCAGTGGAGTACCTCTACAGTCCGATTGAATACGCCTTCTCAGTTCACTCGAATTATCTCCAAAAATTTTGTAAGCATGAGAAGAAAATCCTGTTCCTGGGGATGAATCCGGGCCCCTGGGGTATGTCCCAGACTGGTGTACCCTTTGGAGAGGTAAATACAGTGGTAAATTGGTTGGGACTCAGTGGTCATATTGATAAACCACCCAGGGAACAGCCTGCCAGGAGAGTAACTGGATTATTGTGTAAAAGAAGTGAAGTAAGTGGTAGACGTTTTTGGGAGTTGTTCAAGGGACTGTGTTGCACTCCAGAGATTTTTTTTCGTCACTCATTCCTCAGGAATTACTGCCCAGTGGCTCTGATGGATGCTGCAGGTCGGAATATCACTCCTGCTGAGCTGAAGGCAACACTTGTTTTGGAATTATCTAGGCTCTACAGAAGGGGTATTTCTTATTGATTTCTTTGGGGTTTTGCAGGATCCTGAGAAGAGCAGAGTCATTGAACTGTGCGATTGGTTCCTTGTGGAGAGCATCAAGGTCCTCAGGGTTGAGAAGATTGTAGGGATCGGTCGATTTGCTGAGAGGAGGGCCAAACACGTTGTCAAGACATTCGGATTGCCCACAGAAGTGAGAGTTTTGCTCTGAATTTTTGTAATTATCATCTACAATCATTCAATCTTTTTGTATTAACCTACGGTACGTTTCCCAGGTCCTCTGGATGCCCCACCCGAGCCCAAGATCTACTGGCAGCCAAGACTGGAGTACGAAAGCCCTAAATATTCTGAATAATTTGAACCTCTCGAAATTCTTCAGTCATGAAGCAAATATCCCAGCAGTCATCATCCCTCCAGGCAATGAGTGATGAGGCCCTCAGATGGATGGACGTTGCCCTCTCGAAGGCCGAGGACTCCCTGAGAGCTGGGGAAGTGCCTGTAGGTTGTCTCTTTGTATACGAGGGGGAGATAATCGCCACTGGCAATAACAGAGTCAACGAGACTCGAAATGCCACTCGTCATGCTGAGATTAATTGCATCGACGACGTTCTTGATTTCTGCAAGGCAAGGGCTCTCGACTACAAGGACGTCTTCAGTAATCTTGACGTAATTGTGACTGTGGAGCCTTGTGTTATGTGTGCAGCTGCTCTCCAGGAGCTCAAAGTACGGAGCATCGTCTACGGGTGCAATAATGATCGCTTTGGGGGATGTGGAAGTGTCTTCGAGGTCTCCAGCATTTACGAGGATGGAGTTAAGGTGACGGGGGGCGTCAAGGCCGAGGAAGCCATGAAACTTCTCAAGGAATTCTACAAGGGAACAAATCCCAATGTTCCTGTTGAGAAAATGGGAAAGGGCAGGAAGAAGAGAGGGAAAAAATCCTCTGGTGTTAAGGACGATGTGCAATAGATTTTAGATTAGATTTAGTTAAATATACTTTCAATCATGCTATACATTCATTAGGAAATTAAGCAATACTTTTGTATTTCATGAATTTATATAAATATTTGTGGATCAGAGAAGGTCAGGTGCACCAGGAGGCGTCCATCTGACATTTTCCTTGGTACCAGCGAACTAGCAGTTGATTTTTCAGTGTGTAGTCTTTCAAGATCATGTCTTTCGTCTGAAAGAGAGGCAGTGAATTTTTTTTACATTCTTTGGTTAATGTTTATTCGTTTAAGTTTCATAAAGCGATTTTTTATTGATTTATTTGTTTTAATATTTATTTATTGGCTTTGTTGGGCGAATTTTTTTGGGTTGATTTGGAAGGAATTGAATTGAGTTGATTATGAGCTTACGATTGGTGGTGGAAAGACTCGTTTGAAATCCATTTTATTCTGATGCTCGGTGTAGCACTGAGCGAATATCGATCTCATCTCTTCGGTGAAACACTGTCTGCAGAGCTGACACTCGACTCTGAAGCAATCTGCACAGGCTGAGCAGATTTCTGGAAGGACTACTAGATTTTTGTCTGCTACTTCAAAGCTTCGCTCTTCCCAAGTTCTGCAAGCAAGAACAATTATCTAATTGCAATTACAATTATTCTTTCGAGTCTTGATGGAATTTCTAAGATCTTCATAAACTTCCACCCACCCAGGTCTTATGAAAGGAGTGTCGATCCTCTGCCCCACACCAATGAGTGCAAACATATTGAACAGCACCTGTTCATAGAGCAATCTATTCGGTGGAAAATGTGCGGAGGATAAATTCGGGGACATGTTGGCCTCCATCAAGAAAATATTGAGCTGATCATCAACGATAAAATCGAACCTCACGAGTTCAAAGAAATTTTTCCTCCCAGGGTATTTTTTCACGACGTCTCCCATGAGCTTCTCCTTCTTGAGGAGGACATCCCGGATGGCCTCATCCACTGCGTTCCAGACTCGCCCAGGGTCCTTTCCAGTGCTCCTCACATAAGCATCGAATGTGTCCTTCATGGAGAATCCCAGGTCTGTGTAGAACTTCTTGAGAGATGGCACCTTCCAGATGGGGAGATAATCGTCATCGACGACGTACTTCTTTGTGTCCTCAGGATCAAATGGATGGTACGTATGAGGGCAGAACCTGAAGAGTACATCTCCTTTGTAGGTATAAACCCTCAGAGGATCCACTGACGTGATGACGGTGTAGATCCCCATGTCGAATTTAAAACCATCTACGAGGTATGGTTTCTCCACGAACTCCTGGATGAACGTCTCTTCCTTGTCGAAATCGAATTCCCCGGATTTTTTTATTCTGATGCCTCGATGGGCATTTGACTTCTGGACAAACCTCTTCTCCGGGAAGTCCCTGGTGAAGTCCAGGAAGGCTTCCTTGTCATCGGGGAGTCTGAAAGCTCTGGGGAGGTATTGACTGTCTGTCGTTGATAAATCGACTTTGTTCGTGAAGAAGCCGCAGGCTGGCAGGTGGTTCACTCTCTGGTGGGGCTTCAGGTTCTTCAGATTGGGGAAAATCTTGAAGGGGTAGTCGTGGGCCCACAGCAGATCCCAATCGGATTCGTTCGTACCTCGACGGTAGCCCAATTTGTCTAGAACTTTTATAACGTGCCTCAGGTGCCCCTCGTCCTCTTTTTTCGTGTACAGCCAGTATAGGGGCTTCGAATCGTTTATCGCCAGGGAAATCTGGCTCTCGATCAGGGTATCGTAGTAGTGAAAGACTAGGACTGCTATCACTGAGAACACCACTGGGAGGAACATCACATTATAGACTGCTTTTGTCATCGTCGCGAATTTCGAGTCCTCAGGTTCGGGTATTGATTCCTCCAGGTCATCCTGAATTTTCTTGTATCCGATATAATTATAAAAATCATAGAATCAATATAAATGGTATATTTTTTAATATTAATGATGTAGTTTGAATAGAAAATAATATAACTATTCATATTTATAGTTATTAGAGAATTTAGAGATTATTTAGAGAAATTGTTGTTATGTGGTTTTCAGGTAGACAAAGTCGCAATTATTTCCGGTAATTTTGTAAAAATTGAAATTGAAATTCTAGGGAGATGGCTATAGACTGTGGACTGCCGAAAGGAAATATCCGAGGAGTAGAAAAAAAATGCTGTTCAGCATTTATTATACTCGCTCTCGACACTTTTGAGTCCGTTTTATGAGTGGAATAAGATACTGTTTAAAAAAATATTAAAAAGTGAAAAACATGCGTTTAAAAATCCATGAAGATGATAAATTACATTTTAGTTATTCCACGAAAACTGATAAAAACCAGGAAAATTAGCCCTGAATATTCATTTATTTAATTAAATACCCGAGGTTTTTAAAAAAAAAGGAAAAAAAACGGTTTGCATTCAAAAAATAATTATTATCGCCTCGGCATATTAAAACTATTTATTCCCAAAATTTGTATTAACAATATCAATAAAATTTTCACTAAAAAATATTCCTTGATGCAAGAGAATCTTTTCAATTGAAAAAATGATTATGGATATGGAGAATGGATCAAATTATTATTTTTAAATGTTATTATTAAATAGTACGCTGACCTCGAATGAAAAATGTGGATTATAAGTGGAGGGAATAATTAAAATAGTACAGAAAGTTTTATGTACCTGGTTACTAGGCATCTTTAGATTATTGTTAATGTGTCAACTGATAACTTTAATGATTTCACTGCATTATTACTGCTTCAAGGACGAGGACAACTTTGGTACTTCTTTCGTTATCGGTGACTTGTACCTGTCTGAAAAATTTACCGTTGTTCATCGGTGCTATCCCTACTCCAAATACTATCCACGTGTGTTACCCAACCGGTTTTATTCTGTTATATTCAAGAAATCGAGGAATAAATTGCCATAAGTAGGGCAACATCTCATTAGAGTTTGGGGTGAAATCATTGGGCCCAGGAATTTTTCCTGGATGCTGAGATGTCATGAGTTGATGGTTCAATCACTCGTAAATATAATGTGGATCGTTAAAAGAATTAAATATCTTAAAAAAATGTTTTTTTCAATTATTGAAGATGAATTTCCTGTCCTAGAATTCGCTCTGTAATTCTCAGGTAATTTTCGTCTTGGGTAGTAAAAATTCCGAATTTTTATTTTAATAATAAACTCCCGTAATAAATCTCTTGCCACGAGTAGATGCGCATAAACAATTGTGTTTGGAACGCATGGATTTTCTTGTATTCAGTATATGTAGTGGCAAAAAAAAATGTTTTTTTCTCAATGTACGGTAATTAAACGTCAGGACAAATTACACTGTACATTTTTTTGTCGTAATGGACATGAACAAAAAATTCTTGCGATTTGTTTATTATATCTTTGCCATCGAGGACTGGAATTAAAAAGTTTGGAACTTGCAAACGCGTTCTGCTTTCTCATGAGCCTTCAGCAACGCATAAACAATATTACGAGTATTACTAGAAAGCTAATCTTCCATAGCGTTACAATAGATCTATGAAAAAGTTGGTCAGTTTCGTTTAGCTGATTTTATCGAAGTCGCAACACTGCCTTTCTTCTGAACTAAACAATTATTTATTCCAAAGAAATTTGGGTGAGTCGAGAATTAAAGTATTACACCCTTTCCGCTAAAATTCACGTTTTTTTTTCTGAAGAACTTACGATGGAATGGACGTGAAAAAATATTGTTAGTGCGTTTTGTTATTATTTAATGATTCACGAAGTTCCCAGGTGGTACGTAAATTTTGCTACGTTTTGTTATAAATTTTTAACAAAAATCACAAAACTCTAGAAAAAACAACCGTTTTTAAAATCCCGGTGTTTTTGCTCACCAGCGAGGTTTTTTTCCTCGTAGAGATGAATTTGGAGTTGAATTCTAGTTTTTAAAAATCCCACCAGGAAGTACGTCAGGAATAGCTGGTGTCGCCCTCAGCATCCGCTTCTTTTCGTGTCTCTCTTTTTGCACTCAGCAAGCGTGAAAACGACATGGGTTTCCAGAATATTTGGTACTCTCACCCGAGAAAATACGGCCAAGGATCGAGATCCTGGTGAGTTCAACGATTTATCTGATAAATAATTGATGACATTAATTATTTGATGGAATTGATCTCCTCTGCGGAGGCTATCGTCAGCCCAACGTCACGACCGCATGTGCAGCCCCTAGACTTTATTTTTTTCCAACTCCACATCTGAATTAACAGCAGAAATTAATTGTCATGAAATTAATTTTTCATTCTGATTTACTCGCGATTTATCCAAAAAATTATTTGCATGCGTTTGAATCTCCGGGAAAGACGCCATAACCTCAAAATGGAGGCGGCTATTTCAATCTGTTTCTCAAAGGAAGAGCATTTGTTTATTTATTCATTAGTTTTATAATGTTTTATGAAGCTTCAATAATTATTTTTGAATGTTTTTTCGTTATTTGTCGATTTTACACTCGAAAAGGAAAAGACAAAAGCCGTGGATTATGAGTCATTGTTTAAGAATTAAGAGAATATTTAATAGCAATTGTTTATTGATTTTTCAGCCGTGCCTGTGCTAACAAACACGGTCTCATCCGTAAATATGGTCTGAACATCTGTCGTCAGTGCTTCAGGGAATATGCAGCTGACATTGGTTTCAAGAAGGTAATTAATTTGAAATGAATCGTTGAATAATTCAGTTGTCGAGTGGTAAAAATGCCATAATCTGATAAAATCCACTGAATTTCCGCGAATTAAAACTAATTCACTTTGAGACATTGGAATAGATGAGATTTTGGTTCACAAATTGTATCCAAAAATCTGATACCAAAAATCAACCCGAAGTCTAAAATACTTGCATAAAATATAAAGCACTGCTTTAAACCCGTTTTACTCAATAAACTCAACATATTTTTTTAAATCCTCTGGAATTTTTTTCCAGCAAT